GGTTGTGAACTGTGTCCGAGGCAAATGAATCGTAAAACAACCGGTAGTGTTCACGTGTGTAACTCATAAACAAAGATTACTTACAAGATGGCTCTAAAGGCAAAGAAAAATCCTCGCAGCCGATAAATTAGCCATCATATGGGCACTCAAACTATACAGCTATTTAAAGGGGGTTTATCTGAGCATCAGGTTCATCATTGAAGACCAATAGATTCCCTCACAATTGCCACTCGAAAGTTATCGTAGATACATACATCAGACAGACCTGATATGCAACTTTCGATGAATAATTCCACCTTAACCCAAAATGAAGCCCATTTATTCCAAATATACTGAATTACTAGCAGAAACCATCATATTCACAAGCGGTGAGAGTTCTTGAAGACCAAATTCATGTGACGTAATTGAAACAGTTTGTTCTTCAATCACTTACAGGGACTCTTTATAACAATGAATAGTAGCGTGAATCTAAATACAAGAGATACATTGGAGGTAAACTTTGTGGTTTGACCTGTATGTTTTCTGATAACATAACGCCGCAGAATTGTGTGCGGACAAATATTACCGTCGCACTCCTCCCTGAACTCCTGATGATGTGGCCTTTCCTGATGCGGTCGCCCATCATGCGGTATGTTCCTCGCATTCACAGGCTAAGCAACATTCGCTCCTCAAAGCTATATGCGATCCACCGGTTCCAAGACTTCTGAGGGTCAGCTTTCTCTCAGTGACTTCATTTCACATTGATTTGTAATTGATTCTCATATTAACCTAGAAGGTTTGGAAGTAAGGTCTACCCAGTAACAGTGCAACTTATGTTGAGTTATACGTCGGTGATCGTCTTCTATGTGTTGCATAATTTAAATAACCCAAACACTTACAGAAAGGAGCCTTTTTGGCCACTTGATTTAGATAGCCAATGCAAACGGCGGCTGTAAGAGACATCTGTAAGAACCGTGCAATTGGTAACCGTCAGAGGTCCCCGATGGTTGCGAACTTACCATTGAAATCACTGTATAATACGGCAACATCGCTAACGAAACAATCGCCCATCTGCATATACAGAGGCTTTGGATCTCTGTTCCATCGGGATTTTATCACCAGGGCTATCAATATATCGGTGTCCCAAGCAAAACATAACTAAAATACGCACTGATGACCGTAAAATTCTTGCGTTTAGAGTAACAGTTAGCCTTAGCCAGTGACTCCACCCAAACAACTGAATTGAGTTATCCTGGTAATAGGAGCAGCGGGTTCGCTTTTAAGTGGGTCATTGCCCCGGTGGACGATGGAATTTGGTGGGCTGCAAAAGTATGTGCGTAGATCAAGATGGTTTTTGATTTGAGCACATGCGCCAAAAATTGCAACATTTAAGCGCAAGTAGTTTTACTCCACACAAAAGGGTTCTGCAGCTGAGATCATTGTGCGGTTAATGGACACCAGTAATACAATACAATAATAACAATAACAATAATAATAATACAAAAATAATATATAGCAAAGCAAGTGACAAGTTCGACTGTGTGTCCTAATGTGTGTAGACAGAGACGAAATATGAATGGTTAAAAACCGCCCATGTTCAACAGACTGGGATGCAGTTTTACCTGAAACCAACAAATAAAATTTTCCCGTCGACCTGAGATTTTTAAAGTAGATGCTGAAGCACTCAACGGATGGACACTTTTTCATAATTTTGCCCTAGATGGAAATGTCGAAGAGTAAAATATCACTACCAAAGATTACATCAAAAATAATATATAGCAAGTAGACCGACAAGTTCGACTGTGTGTCCTAATGTGTGTAGACAGAGACGAAATATGAATGGTTAAAAACCGCCCATGTTCAACAGACTGGGATGCAGTTTTACCTGAAACCAACAAATAAAATTTTCCCGTCGACCTGAGATTTTTAAAGTAGATGCTGAAGCACTCAACGGATGGACACTTTTTCATAATTTTGCCCTAGATGGAAATGTCGAAGAGTAAAATATCACTACCAAAGATTACATAGAATGCGCGTTGTTAGAACAAAGTTTATAAGCGACCAAAATTTTGCGTTACACTGCGCCCTGTTGGTCCCGGAATGCGCATAGCAAGGTATGTAAGGATGCAAGTTTTTCGCTTTTTACAAAGTCTTGTCTAGGCAAGTTGAACGAAACTGCGGCTCTTCTGCGCCAGGAAATAGTACGTGAAAAGGTGCTGTCAGGCAAAAGTTGTACTGCGCTTGTCTACAGCATTCACTAGATCCAGTGACCGCCACATTGTGCCTGTGTTCTTGTCCAGCAAACAAATACAACTGAAATGATTGCTATTTTCCACCCCGACGACGGACGTTTAAAAACGATTTAGGACTATATAACATAGCCGTGGGGTTTGAAGAAATCCAATATGACCTGTTCTCCCACTATCTCATATGTGCTTATTTGCCGACAATATGCGAAACTAACCTGCTGAAGGTCGTTTGGCCTGCAAGAAAGCACCCTATACTGCAGCAATGAGTAGCAACCCTGGCTCATCTGCAGCCATTTTCCCTAGAAGACCTTTGTGTAAACTTTTCTCTGTCATAAAACAGATGGCAAACACAACCCAATTGTGGACGTCCATCTGGGAACCACAGAATGCACCCCACATCCAGGTGAAAAACTGAATGCGGCAAGGATCCCTTCGACCAATTTTTACGTTCTTCAATTAGAATGGGTGTTGGCCGACTCCTGGAATAGGAAATCTAAGGAAATCTTATGGTGTGACACAAACTAGCTTTACAGGGTCCAATTAAATTGGTTCATTTGTGCGCCCGCCCATGGTGCCAATAGGGAAGTTTCCGAATTTTCCACTTTGAAAAATTTTCTTAAAAAGCTTTATTCACAAAATACCCCTCACGGCAAAACGGCCGGAATTACTCAAAACTTTCGTCAATAAAACAACCTAAAAAGAAAACCTGGTGCTTTAAAACGAAATTCTGCAAAATCCGGTCAGCAAATATTCAAGCAGCTGCATTTTGAGACGTGAGAAAATAGAACAAATTTTGAGGGAAGGTAGCAACCAGTAGACAACAAGGCGTTTTGCCCTGCCTTTGTTGACAAGATGGATAGAGCTTGTTGTAGCTCCCATAGACGTAGGGCAAGAAAAAAATGGTGAAATGGGAATGCAGTTGATTCGGCTGTTGCAATATGTCTACTGATAAAAAGGGGAGACTGCGCTTACTTACCAACCAATATACTCCCTTCAAAGGGTGGGTCAAAGAATGTCGTGAAAACCGTCACCGTACATGAGGTTTTCATCCTAAAGTTGTTCAACAAAAATAATAACCGGAACCAATTTTTCCTGTACCAAGACTTCCCTCGAAAACGGACAAACATTGACCGGCTATCTTCCAGGTATTGCCCCCACTGTCCTGCGACAATATGGAACATCTCATTCCGTTTGAATAGATTAAATGCCCCCTTTGAATTTTTTAAAAATTTTTTTGTCAAAACCTGATGGTTTAAACCCAAAAGAACCCAAGCAAACGGTTTCAATGGACACTGATGTTATGCATCTAGAACTACTTTGGTGGCTTGAAAAGGAATTTTTCAAGACATTCCCCAAGCTGACCTGTAAAATACTGATAAGATGACAGTGGTACCGATAAAGAATTTGCAAGTGGTTCGCCTCAAACGGAAGGGAAGCTTTCGGGCGATCTTTCCAAACGCTTATTCCAGTTCAAGCGGCAGTAGTTGAGTTCACCATCACCGATGACTGGCTGACAATCGTTGAGCACAAAGCTCCTTTTTAACATCTTACCCTGCTTGCGGAGGGGACCATCTAGTTCGCAAACATGAATAAGCGAGAAAACATCGGATGACAGAGGCTAATCGGGTGTGGATTTTTCTTAGCCTTTGGAATTATGTCATGGTCCACACCAAACTTTAGGAGCTTCCTCCATCTAGTATTGGAATTTTTTGAGTTGAAGTAGGCGATGACGGGCCAACAATTCCCATGCTAATAGTTATTTTACTGGAGAGCAGAATCAGAAGGGTAAATTCGTAGAAAGGGTATAAAAGGCGCCGCATCCTAAAAATACATTGGATTTGGATAGTTTTATAAAAATAGATTTGGTTCACAGAACACAGTGTGCCGCTAATGCTTGCACGATTTAGTCACTGCGATATAAACACGGTGTGGATCAATGCTGGCGACGAACTTGTCCTGAAGTAGTGGTGGGAGAGGTTGTGACTGATTTACACCTGAACATTGGGATTATGGAGAGAGATGTGTTAGGAATAAAACCCGGACTAAAAGTAATAGCCGTTGAAATAATCAGATAATTTTCAGCAATCGAGCTCTCAGTTTAACCACGAAGAGTGAAGTGAGGATGGCGAACCCCAGCCGGTAGAAATAGAGAAGGGAGCTTGTGTCTTGGAAATGTAAATATTCATACAAAACGGGTGAACTCACTGTATTTAATGAGCAACAGGGGTCCTTGCTTAGAATCATTAAAGCTTATGCGGTGCTATTTTTTCTTAGTATCAGATGGACATTGCTTGGAGGATAATTGAATTTGTGGGCTGAAAGAACAGAAAATGCGCCGAGGTGACAAGTACCTTAAAGTTTAGACAAACTTTCGGCAGGTTGAGTAGGAACAATTACCGAGGACGGTTTTACCTACGCGAGTAACACGTCTATTTTGGAAAGTGTTGGGTTATAGTAAACTACCGGCAGATCACTAGAAGTGGTACGGCAATGATGTTATAGCCGCCGCCAAGTCGTACGTTGGCTTAGGAATATCGCGTTGTATGCATGATTTGGGTAAATAATTTTTAGTGCCAGGAATCCGGGCAGTCAAAACTAAATGTGGGACACAGGAGGGAAGAAGAATGCGGCAGCATTTCCCATTCACCTTCCTTGGTCTCTAGGTGCTGCCCAATCTTTCGGCTTTTGCGTTTAGTTGGGCCATTTGTTTGTGGGTGGTAGGATGCCGTTCATGGCTTCTTGGCGCCGAGTCGCCGAAAGCAACTCTCATACTTTTCACCAGCTGGGCATGGCTCCTGATCCATTGTAATTCTTTTGGGTAACTATGGTGGGCCACTATATGGTTCATGACCACTCCGCTAATCGTCTTGTTCCGTTGATTTGGTATGGATACCGCCTCGGGCCATCACAACCGGTGTTCTGTCGTTCTTACAACGTTTTGATTTTCACTGACTGTCATCGGAAAGGGTCCGGGATGTCTATGGACTATAACTCGTCTATTTCTGACACCTGGGTAGGTTCCATGAAAAGAATTGTCCTCATCGCATCCCCTGTCATTAGTTGACACCGCTTACAGATCACCACATAAATTACTTCATTTCTCATCCCGGGCTAGTGAACCCTCTGCCGAACTGAGTCACATGTTACGGAGAATCCTGCCTTTGCCATCTCATGGTAGTCCCCGATCAGCTCCCGTCTGAAGACTCGGACAGCACAACATCTGAAGTGGTGGCGTTCAAATATATCAGTCAGCTCAGTCTATCAAAGTGTTCCTGGAACGTCTATAGTTTACTGTCTCCCTACTCGTTCTCAATATCACTTCCATCTGACAAGGCAAAGGCAAACCTTCGTAGTTCGATTTTTTGCCGTTGTAGTGCACCAACCTTGCGGGGTCTATTTAGGCGAAGAGGTTATTAGTGCCAGTCGGGGTCTTCAGCACTCCATCTCCAGCCTCTGGTCCTGACAGTCCATCAGTCAGGTCGTTCTCCTTCCCTGGCTCGTGCCGGACCGCAATCTTGTTACCGCAACGCCCAACGTGCGAGCTTCACGCGAGGATTTCTTTTGGTCCTGACACACTCAAGAGACTTGTAATCGGTCTCCGAGTAAAATCTCCATCCCAGCAAGTACAGTCCACATATCCATTGCTTAGACGATCGACAGATATTCCTTCTCTATGATTGAGTACTTTTGTCCGGCGATAGTTAGGGCACGACTGGCAGTACGGACTGCTCTGTCATTCCTCTTTACGACCATACCGATAACCCAGTCTCCATCAACCGTTGCAACGGTAAACAGTTTTTCGACCCTGGTCGGGTTGAGGTCGTTACCGAAAACCGCGAGTGCTTTCCTTGTCCGTTTGAACTTCCGATTTTGACGCAGCAAGTCGTGCTTATAACAACAATTGTGCTGCGATCCACGACAAACCGGCTGTAGTATGCTAGTCATTTTAGGAAATTCCAAGAGGATCACGTGGCATATAAAAACGCACGCTTCTAAAACTTTTCTAGTCTTTTGAAAGTGGGCTAGCCGCTCTGTTACCATTTTTAGGCCTGAGCAAAGTCACCGACCTTTCGGTGAGCTGCATCGTAGATCCATCCATCCACAGGCCAGCTTCCCAGCACATTTCAGTTGGGCTTTTACATAAATGTCTTGTTCTGGTTCCGAATCGCTAAACGCGAAAATGTCATCTCCGCGCATGGCTATATTCTGCAGTCTCTACGTCGAATTAAGCATCAACATCCGGAATGTGAATGGTGCCTCCAACAAACCAAACAGCATCCTTCTCGACTGATTTTGCGCAACCCCACTCGCTGAGTTCCTCCATTCCTCTGACTTGATAGTTAGTAACCAGCATACGGAACACAAGTTTGACACCGTGGAATATCGAAATTTTTAAAGCCAATTGAAAATCTGTGCAACCGAAGCGATAGCCACTAAGCGACTTACGTTCATTTCAATAAAAAGCTGGAAATCCAGGCAAAACTAGCACTTCTATTTCGCCTTCTTTACAAGCACAACCGGGAAGTTGTACCAGCTGTTATTTCCTTCGACTCTGCATTTTTCATCGTTTCTCAAACTTCTTTTTCGGCCTAAAAAGCAGTGGTATTGGACTGGGGCCTTAACACCAAAAGCACTCGGAAAAAAGGTAATTTTGTGATCAGTCTATAAGCAGAAGTCCAACGAATCCCCCTTGCTTGTGGACAGTTCTTAGTAGTTCTCGATCACAGGCTGTACTGACGGCACAGGACGGAAGCTGCCAGAAACCCGGTTCATCCATGTTGGTGCTTGAGTAACCTTCCAGCCTGACCGAACCATACTTTGTCACCAGTATTCCCCGATTAGGTCAACTACGGATTCTGCGCTCTTGAGAAAATGCACCCTCAAAATTGTCTTTCTTTCCTCTGGGCTGCTTAGGGACTCGTGCTACAATATCCTCTCGTCTGGGTTTATCGAATTTTCGGTCAATATCCACCCACTGCCTTCACGGCTAATGCGTACTGTTTGTTTTCATTTTCGTGCCTTCTCTGCATCAGTGACACCTCAGCTCTTGCATTAGTTGGACACAGCCACCATTTTCCGTCTATCTCAATGACAGTCCAACGGTCGAACACATGACCCCATAGTACGGGCGTAGTCGCCACAGTTCGACCGTTGGACTCGAATGCATACCGAACTCAGTGGAATACGGAACTGCGGAATCTCCTATATTGAACTGTGAGTCAAGATTTACTTGAACATTTCTCCTTGTGTCTTTGTATCTGGCTTACATCAGTAATTTGCTCAGTTCACTAGAGACTCCATAGGGCCGTTAACCACTACATAATTGATGAGCCCGAACACTTTTTGCTGTTTTCTATTTTTCTTGCTAGCTCAGAACTCCTACATCTCTCACGCATACACTTAGTCCAGTAATTTTTTGAATCATGTCTAACGAAGACGGACTCATCACTGAGTTGGTTGAAAACGCCGTTCACGTAAAACTGCCAGCTTTTGGAGTCAGTAATCCTAGAGTATGGTTTATCCAACTGGAATGTTACTTCCATTTCCGCCGAATTACCTCACAGCAGACCATGTTTTCTTACGTGGTTTCTCAAC